TGCATAGCCTTACAGATGATGACCTGCAGCACTGTTATGATCAATGGAAGTTATGAATGCAGCACTGTGTGGAAACAGAAGGATCATACATTGAAAGGAAACACAACTAAAGTGAGTATACTACTTAAGATTTAAAGTACCAGCTTCAGTCTCGTTATTTTCTAGCCACACCTTGTAGTTTTCTTCCGAGTTTAATTTATTGACCATATTTTAGAGAATGACAACAAGAAACAAACATTTTTAAAATTTATTCTTAACCTAACTATAATAAATATTTTTTCACTAAGACATTTGTTTTATGTTACTATATATTTAATTTTCCATCATTTCTATTGATATTTTTGCAGGACTTTAATTTAGGTGCATTTTACCTATAAGGGCAAATTATGAACTTCATTTTAAAATATGCTAAGTTATAAATATATATAAATAGTACGCACTGCTTAACAACAAACCATATATATGATGGTGTTCCTGTAATACTCTGACAGTTTTACTTCATTATCACTGAAATATTACCAGCAGATGACATTTCAATATTTTATTTTCTTATGCTAAATAGTAGTAGTTTCATCTTTATTAATTACTAATGTAGGGGACTCAAACTCAAATGCAGCAAAGGGCCAGTCAAATAGAGTTCAATATTATTCGATAAACCAAAGCATACTGTAATTTAAAAAAGAGTTCTAAGAAACGACCTTTTGCGGCCAGTCCTTTACAGCTTACATATACAGTTAAATGTTTGAATTTTTTTTGTTTTAATCCCTGCAAGATGTTAGAAACATTTATTTTTAGATAAGAAATCATCAAGGCTGCAGGACAGATATGAAGTCTTAATGGGCCACCAGTTTGCAATCCCTGCACTAGTGTAATAGAAAGAGAAAGACACTATTATTAATCAGAACAAGAAAATAAAATTTAAAGAGTTGACTAAGCTGATATTGGACAACAATTGACAATAATTTTAACATTGAGTATTTAAATATTTTATAATTACAGGCATATATAATTAATTTCTGTTAATCAACAAATATTTATAACAAACTACTTTATTATAAATGTCCATGCATTGTCCTATAGCAGAAAGTCATCAACCTTAATGAGCTCGTCATTCCAAACTGCATCTTATCCACTTTGAAAAATTTTTATAAAGGAAAATTTCTAGTGTAAAAAGAAACTATTGTAATAAAACATTTTCATCATTCAAAAACAGGCTTATGCTACACGTTAGTTTTTAAATCAATATTAGCATTGTCGAGTTTACAGCTTTGTATTCATTTTTCATATTCAATAAAGTATTAATGTGGATGCAATGCACTTTGGAATGACATGCCTCTTATATATAAAAGTAATGAATGAAGAACTTACTTCTTGTATAAGAGGATAATGAATACCTTCTTGTCTAAAAATAAATTTTAAGACCTGAAAAAACAATCATTATTGTTTTAAAAGAACTTTGTTTATAAATTTTTTACTCTTTAATTTAGAGAAAAAGACAAATTTATTATTTTATTCTATTTTTACTTTTTTTTTAAATTAACTACTAATGTTTTTGAGATTAATCTGCTACATTAAGAAAGATTAAATTATTTTGACTTTTATAAATTTAGGCCAATTAACTTATTTGTTAGCTATTTCATTTAAAGAGTAATATGAAAAATGAGATAATTAAAAACATTTATTCTTTTTTCTTGCATTTTATTCTTTTAAAAAAATTTTGTAATAATTGTAATAAGTATAAACATTCACATATTTCTTTTAATTACTTGTTACTACTGACATCGCTAGAAAAGTATTTATCAGAAATTTTTGAAAAATTACAATGTTTAATTTTTTGAAAATGATCCTTTAATAAACAATTAACAAGATATTTAGACATAGAAATAAAAAAAAAAATCAGAAAAAAACACTAAAATAAATTTAAAGTGTCTTCACATTTCTTCCTTTTTCTTACAGTGTGGGAGTGTGGGAGCATGGTCAATTTTATCTTGAGGCTCTCATCCAATTCAATATGCAAAATGTTAAAAACTTCCAACAATTATAAAAAGTATATTAATATTTTAGTGTTTCTTCTAAGTGATATTAAAATTAAGAATTGCAATAATTTCTGACATCAGTTGTAATAATGGAATCACAGATATCAGAAAATATTAAAAAATTCTTTACAAAATTATCTTGATTAGTTTATTATGGGTTTAGAGATAGTATCAATTTATTAAAATAATTCTTACTTTAATAATCCGTGGACAATGATTTAAATCCCTGTAATTCTTTTCTTTTGGATAAGGAGTATTGAGTTCATAACCAGCAGCCATCTCAAACAAAAGATGACCTGCAATGTTGATTAATAAAAAACAAATATCAAATTTTATAATATAGAACATTAAGGGATTCAGCTTTATTTGAAATTAATGTGGAATAAAAATTATATTAGTTAATTAAACTGATTATTTTGAATATTAATAAAAATCTTTTTTTCTCTATTTTATTTAAATGCGAGTACAGTCAAACCTGTCTATAACAGGACCTGTATAGAGCGAAAACATGTCATTAATGGAAAATTTCTTTGATCCCTTATACACTGGCAGAAATTGAAAGTGTTACACCTAGATGGAATTGATAGAAATTCATGAAACTTGGTAAACATGTACAGGGGCATACGCAGAAGAAATGAACACAAAATGAAATGAATTACACGAAGTTTTATTGCTGTTTGGTACATGTTTCTGTAAGAGGTATGGCCACCTTGAGCATGGATATACTCTTGGATCCTTGCAGGCATTGAAACAATAAGTGCTTGAATGTCTTGTTGGGTTATATCTCTCCATGCCTGCACAACTTGTGCAATCAGTTGTTATACAGTGCGCGCTGGATGGCTATGAGACGTAATCCATCTATCCATGGCATCCCAGAAATGCTCTATAGAGATAAATCTGGAGACTGGGCGGGCCAATCCATGATTGCAACACTTTGCAAGGCCTGTCATGTGATGTCAGCACCATGAGGATGGGCATTATTTTGTTGGAAGATACCGTTTTGGGTAGTGTTCATGAAAGGTATGACTACTGGATGATCACCCTGTCCACATACTGGCAGGTGATCATTGTGCCTTCAACAACCACCAACTCAGTCCTGCTGTTGTAACTGATTGCCCCCCAAACCATGAGACCAGGAGTTGGACCTGAGTGGCATTCTGAAATCACAGCAGAGTGGGCTCTTTCTCCAGCATGCTGGCAGACATGTTGCCAACTATCACATTGGTCTAAACAGAATCAGGATTCATCACTAAACACAACTGTATGCTATTCATGTGTCCAATTACGTCTAGCAGCACACCACGTTAGCCGTTGTTGGCGATGAAATCTGGTTAAGGGAACACATTGCATGGGGGTCCGCAATCTCAGCCCAGCATCAAGCAATCGGTTTACAATTGTCCATGGGGTGATTATGGCAGTAACTACTGCTCGGATCTGTGCTGCCATCGCACATCTGTCAGCAACTGCCATCCGCAAAATATGGTGGTCTACATGTGGCATCATCCTTCTGTGTGGACCTGTGCCAGGTCTGTGAGTACTGGACCCTTCCTGCATCCACCATGTGATCACTCTTTGTACTGACATTGCACTATGGCCAGTACTTCAGGCAATTTCACGATATGATACTCCCATTTCTGACATGCCAATTATCTGACCTCTTTCAAAGTCGGATATTTGGGTGTATGGAGTTCTCACTCGTCGATATGGCATAGCTGGTCACCAACAACATGTGGACCAAAAAAAGTCATGTTCCATAACACAGTTCACAAATTATAAACTAAACACTATAGCAATTTTGCATAACAAATGTCTCCATAATTTCCATACCACTGTATGTACTTCATTTAATTTTTGATCATTCAATATCCTTCAAAAAGAGATTCTTTTTCCCAATTTCATATGTCTTCGACAATATTGGGTGGGTGTAACACTTTCAATTTCCACCAGTGTATTTTTTGCAAAAAGTAATGTAAGTTAACCTGTATATAATGGAACCTGTCCAATGCGAAAATGGAAAGGAAAATTGGGCCGTATAACAGAAAAATCAATGTCTTTATCCAATTTAACACAAATTTAACAAGAAGTTTACAAGCCTAGAATGTATAAATCATTAAAAAAGTCAAAAGATACACAGCAATTCAGAATAGCAAAATATGACTACTGTACTACAGTAATTTTATTGAGATTTAAACAAAGTATTTTTATTAACAGCTGTTTTTACATATAAAAATTTAACACGTTATTCCTGATGTGAGATTGTATTCTTTGGTTTGAATCTTATTTTAAACTTTTTTACATCACATTTCATTTGAATAAAATCAAGTCAAAATGTCTGCGGATAAAATGCACATTGGGCATATTATGCATGTTTTTTAAGTTTCTTAAAGGATATCATGCTATAAAAAACAGTAAAAAATACTCGTACTGTATATGGAGAAGATGAATGTGTCAAATGTGGTTTTGAAAGTATCATTCCGGAAATTTTGAACTAAAGGATATAAAATGCATGAGTCCCCAAAAGCTGTTGAAGAGAAATTGTGGGAAGTTGTTAAAGATTGTTGAATAACAACTCATGAATTTGCACCAAATCTTAGTGCGTCACAGACACGTATTGTTGAAACACTTCATTCACTTGAAATGGTAGTAAAACATGCTGATAATTGTGTTTCATAAGCAGTTTGTTTTTTTTGTCACTTATGAAAAAAAACAAACTGAAATTGAGTATAATTTTGTCTGACAAAGGTAGACAGCTGTAAGATTTTATTTTATTTTTAAATTGGTTACTCGTTTTTATCTTAGAGAACTTTTTTATAGATGAATGAAAAAATTAGTTAAAATAAAAATATTTCTTATTAAACGAAAATTTGTTCTAGCAGGTGATGATTGTTCGGTCAAGTACTGAGGTACCACTGTATTTGATTAATAAATTTCTCAATATTACCATGTACATCAAAGTTTCATTAGTCACATTAATCAAGGAATACCTATAGTAGGTAACCTGTATATAGTGGAAACCTGTCTACTACAGAAGAGTTGTTCAGTCTCTTGAAGTTCCATTATAAACAGGATTTACTGTAATAACATCTTATTATACATGAATAAACAAAATCAAAATGCTGGATTACTGGCAACCCCCTGCAAACCACACAGGTATATTATTAATTATGCTATCTGACCTCTAGTTGCTCTTCAGTTTCAAATACAATATCTCATTTAACAATTCAATTAAATTTAAATATATATACTGTAAAACCTGTCCAAAATGGAATCCAAATAAAACAAAAATCTACCTAAATGGAAAAAATTCTTTGGAACAGAGTGATTTTCTATGTTAAGAAAAAATCATGTTCAAAACAAATACACCAAAATATTTGGAAAAAATATTTTATAGTGTGTGATTCCAGTTTATGAAGGTTTTACTGTATACAAGCCACTCAAAAATTTCCAAGAAGGGACCAAAATAATCAAAATGTGTTATTAAATAAACTTCTTTATATCCTTTTACAAAAAAAATCACCTGAACATTAAACTAATAACTAATTTCTTTGAATTAAATTTAAACTTACTTTAATTACTATTGTTATTAACTAATTAAAAAATATAAATATATATCATAACTTACCAAAACAAATGCTATCAACGCAATCTTGATTATCACAGATATACTTCTGAAGTAGAAAATAAATGCGTGTAGTATTTCCTAATAAAACATTTTCCAATCCGGAAATCCTAAAATGTTTATTAATAATCACTTTACAAATCTGACATTACATGTTAATTACATCAATGATATATAATAGTTTCAATTTTATGTTAGACTATAATTAGTTCTCTTTCATCCTAGAAACTTAAAATAATCTTTTAATTTCATTATCTGCTTGTAATAACATTAATTTTGGCACTTTATTATCTTGGTAATAATTAACAGGAAAGAGCTTCTATAAATTAAATTATTATTATTTAATTTACTACCATATATATCCACGATGGCCAAAATGAAATTTGCAACTGCAAAAGACTTCTAGACCCTTACACAAATTATTTTTTATAAATTTGGTACATACTGCTTACAAATAGTTAATAGTCAGAAAATTTACAAAATAGTAAGTGATGTGATATACACATGGATTGCAAGTGTAAGTTAAAAATATATTTATCTAGTCAATTGTAAAATAACCATTAAATAACAGTGAATTTACTGTAATATTTTAACTATATACAGGTATAATATAAAAAACCACTTCTATTGGAAATGTGACTCCTATTGTGACAAATTTTGGCCACTCAATATACGTAAGTAAATAAAAAACCTACACCTATACAATATTTGAAGCTAAAAATAATCATAAAAACTAATACTGTGTGAAATGAAGCTTGAGTTTATTTGTTTAACTCAAATTTAGAAAAACATTTTTTCTAAATTTTATATTCTGTTTACATAGAATATGAGCAAAAATATATTCCATAAAGGTAACCAAACACATTAGTAAATGGAGAAGCTAAATTTAGTAATAGCCAAACTGATTATTTTATTTAGTTATAGCCAAATAAACAATAATTTTACAATTTTAATGATAATTTTTTAATGAAATGAAAAATATTTTTGAATCTTTATTGTTCACAAAAAGTTCTTTTTTTCTTCTTTCTTTACTTTCCAACTGAAAGACAATCAAAATAATTGTTACAACTGAATGAGTAAATTTAAATATCTCATCCTGCTTTACTAATTCAATGATATAAAACTGCTTGCTTGAACCAAAAATATAAAGTCATTCACTTTTTCACACACAACTTTTAGATCTCATCTGAATTATCAGTAAGTTTTTACCAAAAAATACATGAAAATAATTTTCAATCAATAACTAATTACTTGGTAAATGATCATATTTATTTAGTAGGCAGATAGAAAGATATCATCAAGTTACTTTAAACATTTATTATTATAAAAAATGGTCTTTTTCTACAAAAATTACTGATGAGATGAATATAGAGTCTATGAACATACTATAGTATTGCTTTTATGAGCAACTACTAACACTTTATCACACTATCTGCTGGTATGGCACACTGATGTGTTCCAGGTAAAAATAGCCCTGATTATAATAACAGATGGCAGAATGCATTTTACGAGTATTTTACTATTGTAAAATTTGAAATATAAATATTTTGTCTGATGGTACAATTGACAAGATGGTTGACACAGGTAAGGCATTAGCCTACTGCTGAGGATACCAGGAATCAAAATCCAGGTGAAATTCTCCATAGGTCAGTGCATTCTAGATGTGTTGGGCCCATTCTCATTACATGACCATCCCCACTGTGGGCTTGGCAAAAAGGTGTGTGAAAAGGCCCTCTTAATGTTCAAAGAATTGGAAAATTGTCAGATACTGGCATCATTATCAGAAGACACTGTCTTCATAGAGTTAAAAAAAATCATAGAATTGTCAAAACAAGATTTTACATTAAAACAGCCTTTAAACTTTAATGAATAATAAAATAATCAAACTTAAAGTTTAAAACATTTTAATACCTGGCTACTCCATTTTGAATGATAACATTTCCACAATGAAGATGGCCAAAGGTTGGAAAACCATGCTCTCTCATAAAAATCATTCCTTCTAAAATTTGACGTCCTAACTGTTGTATTTGAGATTCACTGAGACCTGTGCCGTAGTACTGATATTTCTCTCTCCAATCATGTTGGCAATTACTCTTAAAAGATAAATTGTATATATAAAATTAAAGCAAAAACTAGTATTTTTAATACTAAAATACAGTTTTCTTTTCTGTTATAAACAATGTTTATCCTTACCTGATAAATTAAGTCCTTAAGACTTCCTTTGTCATTAAAAGGCATTATAAATACTACAAACTGTTGTTGATTTAAGAATGTAAAATCTACATCTAAGATAGGATATATATAAGGATGTTGAAAAGCCACAAACAATTCGAGGAGTGCTTGTCGAGTAGTAGTATTGCAAAGAATTGGACAATTGTCTGATACTGGCATCATTATCAGAAGACGGTCTGTCTTCGTAGCAGTATCTCGGACAAGAAACCAATGTTTGTCAACCCTGCTTCCTAAAGTTAAAAAAAAAACTAGCATTTGTTGTAATCTTAAATTAAAAACAATTTATTTTAGTATCAAAATACTACATATTATATTTAAATTATATTAAGTAATAATTAAGTTTTTTAATTTTATTTCAAATAATTACTTTATTCATATTTCTGCCTACCTAAATCATTTAGTTGTTGAATAAATACGTATCTTAAAGAATTCTGGAGATAATGTTGACAGTTTATCAGAGCCAAATCTAGTAAGAAAGTAATTTTAAATTGTTATTAGTTTTATAATTTTGTAATTGATTGTAAATTTTTAGTTCTTTTATACATTTCTATATGCTCAATTTTATAAATACTGTTTAAGGAAACTATTTACAAAACCTCAACAAGAATAACATTTAGGATAATGTCAAATTTTGTATGATGATTTATGTAGGATTCATAGGAATTTATGACGTTCATGTCATAAACTGTTTTTTTATATTTTATAACCTGATGCATCATGTTTGCTTGCAGTTTTAAAATGTACAAAGAAAATATGTGGTATTTACAAATTGCAGTTAAAAAGTTATGGAAGTGGTGATATGGTGCTTAATCAACTTGCACAAACTAGGATGCATAATAGACATTGTTATTTAGTTTCCCACCAAATTTCATGCCATTATTGTACATAGTTTTTGTTTTTTTGCTGTTTAGATTAATCAGTGTTCTTGTCAATTTGCAATTTTCATTGCTTTGTAAAATAAATTAAGGAACAGCATGTATGTGTGACATTTGTTTCAAACTTGGCAAGACTATAACAGAAAAGAAAGTGATTACTGGAGACAAAACACAGATTTATGGCTATGATCCCAAGACCAAACAACAATCAGCTCAATGGAAAAACTGTGGCTCACCCAGACCAAAGAAAGGAACCCAAGTGAAGTGCAATCCCAAACACATGCTCATTGTCTTTTTTATAGGACGGGATTTTTTTTATATTCTTTGAGAATCAAATCACAAAGCCAATCTATGAATCAAAAGTTTTATGTGGATGTTTTGAGGTACCTGCTTGAAAATGTCAGACAAAAAGACCAGATCTTTGGAAAGCTCAGATCTGGTTGTTGCATCTTGACAACTTTTCTGCCCACTTAGCTATGTCTAATCAACAGTTTCTTTCCAAAAATAAAATGGCAGTGTTCCCCATCCTCTTTATTCACCAGACTTGGCACTATGCGACTTTTTTCTATTGTATGACTGAAAAAAAGTTGAAATGCCAGCAATTTGAGAACATTGATGACATTCAAACAGAATCACAGTGCACTTAAAAATGTCACAAAAAAAGAGTTCCAGGAATGTTTTGAAAACTGGGAGAAGTGCTGGAATCTATGTATAGTTGCAGAAGGAGCTTATATATACACAATGAAGTGCACTCAATAAATACCAGGCTTTACTTTACATGTATCTTTATTCTGCTGTTTAGGTGCTGATACACATTTCAGGTGCTCACCCATCTTCTGTCGGCTTTGTTATTCCATATTTAACAAGTAAAATGGCAAAACCATATTTGGGACATGACTATGTCTTGGAGACGGAATCACTTTGATGCTCAAGGCAGGTCTCGTTCTCATTTTCCTATCTTCTTTGATATCACTGCTTTTGGGCACAATCATTCAAACTTTGCCAGCCACGACCATGAGATCATCCACGATGCATCTTTGATGAAATTAACTTATCTAATTTCAAAATTTCTCTCTGTTACATGTCAGCCCAGGTTGAATTTTTGTCGATGCATAACAAAAAGTTCCCGTTTTTGAAAAAAATAATCATGGCTATTGTATCGTCCGAAATTATTTTTTTATTTTGCACAAACAATATACAGTTTAACCCAATTATAATGTCACCAAATGTAATGACAACCCTAATATAACGCCAAATTTTTATCAGTCCTACGATTTTACTATACTAGATAATGTTAAAAAAAGCCCACTTGTAACGACATAAAACCGTTTTAATGTCATATTTGAAGCACTCCCAAATTTACAAAATTAGATTACAAATTTTATTTAACCTAGAAGAAACTACGTGTTCAGTCCTAAGGTCAGAGTTCACTTCTTAGAATGACTGTGGGTGGTACTCTCTCCTACCTGACTTCGGTGGGGTGAGGTGGCTGTTTTGCCTGTTTGTAGAAGAGGGTTGCCACTTTGTATTTTATTTTGACTCAATTCTCGGTCCCCTGACTACCTACGAGTCTGGATTTTTTTATGCGCAAATGATTTGGTCACCTAATACTCTGTGCCAAATATCAACTCTCGACATGTACTCCTTCATACCTCTATGCTGGTAAGATCGTGTGGCAGTACAATTTTATAAACAAGACATAGTCTTGTCAATAAAGTGTATAAAACATATAAACACATGGCATTCACACCACGCTAAAAACATATAAGACCACTAAAAAAATTGGAGTTAGCACTGATATGAACATACTAGATTCTTTAAGTCACATCATGTACTCAGATTACCATGTGTTTATATGTTTTATACACTTTATTAAATATAGAATAACAGAGCCAACAGAAGAGGGGGAGCACCTAACACATATTGGCACCTAAACAGCTGAATAAAGACAGATATAAAGTAAAGTCTGGTGTTGAGTGCACTTCACTGTGTAATAAAGATAAATTGTTCTCTTACTATTAGTAATTTTTTGTGTAATTATTCAAAATAGTAGAACCTCACTAATCTGAACTAACTGAAGTCAAAACCTGTTCAGATTAAAAGTACTTCAGATTATCCCCAATGTATTTTTTATGTTAATATTTCCTCAATACACTGTGTATAATTAAAACAGTAACAACAATTCATTGAGTTGCAGTTAGGAATATTAATGCAAGAGAAAATGTGAGGTTCTAGACAGAGTTCAAAATCAAGTTAATTGTACATTATATAAAAAGAAAGAAAATATTACAATAAGATCGGAACAAAGATCATGTAAGCTTCGTAAGAGAGGAGGAAAGAAATGTAGTTATCAAAACAATGTGATGCAGAGATGAAAAGAACAATCCAGGACAACTCTTGCATGTGTTAGATGACAAGTCAACGTCAACCAAGAGATTGAACCTTGACACTGATGCTCGTAAACAACAGATCAAAGTTAGGGTAAATTGGAAAAAGAGGAAGGTTTGACAGTCAGGAAGACATTCCGCATAGTTGTTAAAATCCTATCAAAATCAAATTTTATATTTACTGTATATTTTTTGCAATTTGTGTCTATTTCATAATGCAATTATGATTTTATAACAAATAATTAGCTAAAACACTGCTTAGTAAGTTATTGTAGAACTTACTAAGCAGTGTTTTAACGAATTATTTGTTATTTCTTCAAAACAATTTGTAAATATTTTGGTGCACAAATTTACAGATCTTTTTTGTTTTACCTTACTCATTAAAATTAAGCAGAACTTCAGACTGTTCAGATTTAAGTTAGCAAGGTCTTAGAGTATTTAATTTGTTTGTATATTTAATATAAATTAAATTTATAAAATTTGTATGCTAAATTAGTCATCTTATTTGAATAATGTGATAAGATTTATATGAGATAATGTACTTCGATCAGCATCTCTCTGAAGCTTCCTATCCATTTCCAGACGATCTTGTAATACCGCTTCATCTTCTAAAGCTGTATATTCACAGAATGGTCTTTTCCTATAAGAATAAAGAAATGAAAATATAAAGTTAAATTTCAAAGACATCTTTTATCCTATATAATCAAGATAATCAATGATCAATTTTTAACTTTTAAATAAAACTTTTCTTAAATTACATACAATATAAAATTAATTAATTAAATTTACTCAAAATTAATTTACTATTTATTTCAAATAATTCAAATCATCTACATAGTGATTCTTTTCTTAATAAGCAAGAAACGAGAAATCTTTTCTTAATATTTAATCAGTCAAAAACATTGAAGATAGAAAAATATACCAAAAGTGTACAAAATATTATTCTGACATTGATTCTTCTATTAAAAATGCTAGTTTTTAATTTTAATTTCTACCTTACTAAAACATCTATACTGAATATTATTATACTGACTGACAGTTCCAGTATATTTTTAAAAAATAAAATAAAAAATGAAACAAAGCCTGTTTTGTGTATTTGTCCTACATTATACACTGATCAAAACAATTAGGGGATTATGTGATATTTTGAGGAAACATATATGCAACTAATTATCTGAAATATAATAAAAAAATTATGGTATGTCGATGTAGCAAACAAAACAACAACACTGATACATTAGCATTTAGTGCATGATGTCAAGAAGGTGCAGATTCATACAACAATAACATGGATATTTGAGGTGGTAGAGAGCTCTAGGATGATGTGTGGTCCCCTCAAATAGTTGAACTGCAGCAAATCTGTGTGACATTGACTCAATTAGGCTGTCAACAAGGTATTGAGGGAGTTGTCACTCTGCATGAAAGGCTATTTCCAGTTTGTGAAGAGTCAAAGCAGATGCATACCTTGCTGCAATTTGTCTGCCAAGGGCCTCAGACTTACTCAATATAATTTAAGTCTGGGGAGCATGCTGATCCTTCCATATGCTCAATTCCTGCTTCCTAAAGCATGTGATCCACTAGCAGAGCTAAATGAGGTCAGGCATTATTGCCTGTCAATATCAATATATTCTCTATCAACTGGATAAATAGACAAGAAAAACACACCTTTAAAAATCCAGCAAATAAATTTACTAATAAAAATGTTTTTGATTGGTTTAACCAATCCTCTTCAGTTACGATGAAATAGAATGTGAAAATAGAACGTAAATTTAAAAATAAATGATAAACCGTAAATCCAAAATAAATACATAAATACATAACTGAAATCATAGTTGTGAATAATAAATAAATAACTATAGAAATAAAATAAACAACAAAAAGTAAAAACAGACAAAGAAATGTCCCTTAATAAAATTAATTTTCATTAAAAGACTGCCATGTGGTAGCTAAGTTGTCAGCATCTCTATGGCTGATGCAACCGGTTTTCTTGTGAGCTTTAAAAATCTCCAAACTTTCAAGATATCTCATAGTATTTATATTCGATGTTGATTTGATGATTGATGCTTGCTCCCATTGCACCTGAATGTCTTGATGTTGTGCATAAGCTGCCAGTGCTGTGCTATCAAGATTTTTATCAATTGTATACTTATGTTCTTTGAGCTGTTGTTGTAAGTTGCGCATAGTGGCACCTACATATACCAGTTTTGATTTGAAATGTTGGTTGATTAATAGGATGGAGTAAATCCCCATGGCCGAATTAAGGTTATATGGTTTTTTATCATTCCTTAAAATTCTGAATATCATTGGGTTGTGTCAATATACAACTTGGAGATTATTAGCTCTGGCCATTTTTCTATGTATTCCTCTTAAAAAGGGGAAATAATTCAAAACCACTCTTCATTTCTCTTGTGCCACTATGCAAAACTCTGTCACGATGGTTTTCTATGAAGTTTCTGCAGGCTATACATTATCATGCAGTTAAAGGGGGACAAATCATTGGCCTATGTGTATAAAGGCCACTTTGGTGAAGGCAATTTCAAATAGTTTGTTTGACCAGATATCTAGTGCCCTGTTGCCAGGTAAAGCTGGTGTTAGAGATCTGTAGCTCTCTGCCACAGCACTTAACAGTAGATAATGGTCATCCCTTGTTGTTGTTGTTCTTGAATGTTCTTGTCCTTGTCATCTTCAAACATTTCCTGTAAGTTGAAGCAGAACCACAGCCAAGAAATTACATTTTGCAACACTTCCATGGCTTCTGCTACCACCCTCTGCATCTGGCCAGCTTCCTGCCTTCAAATTGCTCTCCATACTGTTGATTCAGGTAAATCATGCTGACAAGACATTGTTCAAAGCAACTAATGTTTAAAACGAACAGATTTTTACCAGGAAAAGCAATTTGCAGTTGAACAAGGGAGATCCTAGAGCAGCATCATTTATGCACAAATTGGTCATTTGCATAATCTGCTGTCTCATATACTCATCTCCATACAGATATGCATCTCTCTGATGTCTGTATCATATTCCATTTGTAGTAGGAATGATATCATATGCTTAGCTTGCAATACATCATCAATGTTCATTGCTTCCCTAATTGTTTTGACCAGTGTATATTATATTAATTATATTAAATATAACACTTTATTACAGTATAATGCTTGCAAATGAATTGTCTAACAATCATGTTTTATGAGATTATTTAGTTGGTAAGTTCATCAATATTCACAGCAGCAGTGCTATGAATGATGATGAAAGATGATGATTATGCAACTTTATAAAAAGTCATTGATTTAAATTTTATATCACCAATCTAAACATGACTTTTAATATTTTAATTATTATTTTGCAATATTTTTTCTTATTTGTTGCTTGAAAATTTTTAGGAAATTCTGTGCTATCAAAAGCAAAAACATAATCCAAGTTATCCTAAATTATATCACACAATTTGTATATTATAAATATGTTGATATAGTATAAACAAAGTTTATTTTTAACAAAAAATTACTTTTATATCACCAAACATCTAAATTATATCCATTATTTTTTTTAATATATATTCTTTTAATTTTTTATGAATATTTCACTCTACTTTTAACATAATTCAAAAGTAATAAAGATGTTTATAATATAATACATGTGGTTTATGTCTAGAGAGAAATTTCATACTTAAAACTAGTAATAAACTAATAAAACTATTAAGTTAATACAATATCATTTTAACATAGTAATATTATTCAATATTATCTCTGAAATTATTTAAAATGATTCTTGGAAAGTTTTGCCAATAAAAAAACTATCAAGTTAAAACACCACCAAAAGCTGAAAAATAATATAACAACTCTCAAATACTTCCATATTTATTCCAGCAGGTACGTTTATTGGAAAAAATGAACATTTTTGATCACTTTCACACACCTTCATCAGGTTATTATACATTCCACAAAGAACTATCAATGAAATTCACACCTTAAAATTCCAGCATAGCAAAATATTTTACTTACAATTAATGTTTCAATCATCTTGAAAGTCCTCAAGCAGGGACAAATTTACCCATAAAGCTAAGCTATAGCTTGGACCTCATTTTTTGGGTTAGATAAGCAAGTTTGCAATTGGAGTTTTTTGTTTGGATGACTCATTTTTTAAATTTGAGATAATGAAATTTTACCAGTAATAAAAGCTGATAAGTTTAAAATTTTCAAAAGCACTGATCAATTAAATGCATGAAGTCCTTACTAGTTTCAAATCAGCTATGTTTGGTTGTTTATATCTGCCAAATGAGTGACTTGTGTTTTCAGATCTAGTGGAGATAATTTCTGAACGTTTGCATTGTATATCATCTGTCATATCTAATAATGCACATGAGGCATGTATCATGGCCTGGTCTGATCTACTTTTTAAAAAAAATAAAAATGTAAAATGTAACTCTTCAGAATTCAAATGTTTCTATTGCTGTTTTGATGATAGGTCTACTAAAAATTAATATTTTTATTATGCTGAACTGCCAATAAATGGAACTATCTAGAATCTGTCCTTAAAAGAAACACTTCCTTGCTTGAAGCATAAGGCAGCAATATTATAATGTGAATTATAATGCCACACGACTGAATAGAGATACCAAGTTTTGTTTGCTAAAGCAGGCAAAAGTATACAAAACATCATTCCATATGCTGGACACTCACTAAATCTAGTTGACAAGACTGCTGCTTCAATGCTATCAATTTCATTGTTGCCTACACCAAACATACACTTTTTCCCCTCTTCAAACAACAGGACATGACATCATATATTCATCATTGATAAAATGTTTATCAGATTTTAGCTATAAAAATGAATTAGGACTGACTGATGCTTTAGAAATAATACATATTGATATTGCCAAAAACAGCAAAACGAGAAGAAAAGCTTACATAATTCAAGCAAAAATGGAAGTATTAGAATTTCTATTCATGCTGGAACTCTGAAATCATGTTTTAGAATAGTTTCATGAAACATTATGTGCTTTTCTTGAAACAACTTAATAACTTGATTAATTAATTGTGCAAATTTGTGTACATCATTGATTATTTATACCATAAAACTGAGAAATGCATTTGATGATTAAGGAAAAAAAAAGCAAAAGATAAGTTCCTAGATGTATGCAGAAAAACAGGTATGTAAAGATATAAGTGATGAACAATGTAATTGCACCAGGAGCTAATAACTTGCTAATGCCAGGAGAAAAATTTCATACACAAAAGTTTTTTTCAATCTTGTTTGACTTACATGAACTCTTAAAAAAAGCTCATGTACATCAAACAGGATACATTTACAAAAGCACTCAAAATTTTCATTTATGTTGGATTTTCATGCCAGCGAGGAGGAATTGCATGCTGGCATAACTGTAATGAAACAAACTTATTCCGAGGATGTTAACATTAACTTAATTGAATAACTGGTGCATTTTCATGCATACCATATTTCCACACATATAAGAGCACACTTTTATACATGAGATTGCTCTTCTAAATGGGACAAAATTGGCACTATATTCCAAGAGTATCTAAAAATGTTTTTTTAATATTTTTATGATACTAGAAGCACTTTTACTTTCCCAGCTGTTATATATAACAGAGGGAAAATATGGTGATCAGTCAATAAATGACCCCCAAGATTTGACAATTGACACTCTGAAACATCAAGAAATGCAAAAAAATTCAGGGGTAATTCTGTATATATGGATGTTAGTGTGGGAGGCACAATTTTGTTCACCCTGTTTGAAGCTTAATAATTCCTGAGCTTTACGTCGAAAACTTCTGAAATTTTGCAAGGAGGTTTGTTTATTAGGTGGATTGATGCTATTAAATTTTGGGGGCTAAAGGTTGAAGGGGTGGGGAGATAATGGAGGTCATGTGTATCTCCAGTAGGGGTCGGACTTAGTGATGATTTTACTTGTTATTAGCATTTACAATTTTTTTTTATAAAACTCATCCCTACGCTCAAAAGTAAGATTTTTGCCATTTTATAATAGTTAAAAATATAAAATACGTTTTTTAATAATATATGGTAACAGATGGCACCAGCAAAATTTTACATGTCACTGGGAAAGTTGAGCAACTTGTTGCTGGTTTTTTGTTTTGACTTTTTATTTTATTTTTGTGGCTGTTATATTTAACAGAGGGAAAGTACAGCAATCGGTCAAAAAAATGACCCCCCCCAAAATGTTTACAGTTTTTGACTCTGAGTACCTTGAAATATTGAGAAATGCAAAAAAATTTGGCAGTTTCTTTTAGTATGAATGTTTGTGTTTGTGAGTGTGTGCGTGTGTTGATGGCATGATTTTCTTCATCCACTTTGAAACTTCTGTGCCATTTGTTGAAAATTTCTGAAAATTTGCAGGGAGGTTTGTGTATTAGGGAAATTGATGATATTAAATTTTGCCAAATAACTACTGGATTACATCAGGCTACTTTTCAGCAATTATTTTTAATTAATTTCTAAATAGTTTGTNAATATTTAATGTTATATAATGATAAAATAAAAACATTAATTATTACTGAAATATACAAAATTTTGAAACTCACTTCATTTTTGTTTGAAACTCTTTTGTTTCATAATAAAACAAAAAATCTATGGTATGATCACCAGGCACATCTGGTCCACGAAGCCACATTGGAACAATAAGTGATTCTTTCGGTGTCAGTTCACAAGAATTTCCATCAAGTGTGATTATTTCACAAATTGCTTCAATATTTGGACATTCAGCCATAACTGGGGAAAATTTTTCGTTGCAAGCATTTTCTTTGTATACCATCCAGCCATTTGATTCATAACCTGGTGTTCCAATTACAAACAATTCTGGATTTGAAGATGCTATAAGTATTCTATTCAATGCACAATGACCAATATTTGTGAATTCTATATTCATCAGTCTTACTTCACCACAAAAGAATGTTGGAATAAAATTATTAAATTTAACCTGATGAAATCTGGTTATTATTTGGCTTATTACTAATTTATTGGGTTTAGAGATGTTTGTAATGTATTAAATTTTGGTCATTAAAGATCAAAGGGGAGTCATGTCATATCTCAAGTGTAGTTGGACTCAATGATTTTAATCATTATTAGCATTTACAATGCTTTATAAAATTCATCTTTACTCTCAAAGTTAAGCTATTTGACATTTTATAATAATGGTTACCACAGAGCTGACTGAACAGTTATTGTATCACTACATTTACATATAATTTATGCTGATACAGCAGTGCAGTGCTGTTGCAAGCCAAAATGAGCTGGCACACATAAGAACATGCTCTTATTTGTATGGAAATATGGTATGCAAAAAAAATTATTTACCTACAAACATGTTTAACCATGAAGACCTGTACCAAATAATCTTTAGAGATAAAATTTAATTAGCTTTTCCTAATGTGGAATTTAGATATTTCTTAAGTTTAACATGCGCAAACTGTACAAAAGAACAATCCATTTTGCAATTAAAAAGATCTAAGAATGAACTACATTCTACTATGCAACAAGAAAAGCTTTCAGATTTTGCCATCCTGTGTATCAAAAAAGACAAACTTTAAAGTTTGTCATTACATAATATTAGTGATTTTGCACATCAAAAATTAAGAAAACTAAGTTAAAAGTTATTGATATTGTTAAACAGCACTTGCTTAGTATAATAATAAAATAATCCTTTTCTCAATTAAAAATTTCTCTATATATTGTAAAGTCTTTGCAAATCCACACTTAAAATGTAAATTTTAATATTGGCGGTAGACTATCACACAGCTTTAGCCAATGATTTCACTTTATTCTATTACTATAGATGCATTTCGGTCCTTTTCTAAAAAAGGTCCCTCTTCAGTACTATAAAATACAAAAGTTTACATAAACTTTTTTTGCAAGTGAATATTTAACATAACAATAAATATTTTAGTATTACAATACCATTTGAGTATACAGTTTTATTTATACATCCTTTCAGCACTTTCATCTTGAGTGCACTAAATTATTTTTATTTATGTCTTGCTGTAACAAATTTTACACTATATTAGATCTAACAATTATACTTAATAAAACTTTTAAAATCTACAAAAATCTCAAAAAAATTTTTTTTTTTTTTAAATAAGTTCTAAAAANTATAGAGAAAACAGCGGAGAAGGTCATCAGAAAACACTATTTAATACCTTTTCATCGTCTAAACTATAATTTTACCTCCAAAATCCCACTCCACCTTGCAAACGGGACATTCTATCTTCCAGCTCTTCCACCAAATCCTCCAATCTTTCCATTGTCGATTTGTAAGCGGCTTCGCGGCATAACGCTTCAGATAGTATTTTATGAGTCATCCTAACGACGAAACCACTTGTTAAAATTCTAATTTTTAAATAAATAAATAAATAAATACGATAGGATCGACCTCATTTCTGCTTCCATTTCTTGGATCTTGACACTGTGATAATCGCTGGTGCAGACGGCAGAATCGCTAGAAATCGAACTGTCAAAGTAATTTTTTTTATTAAAATTGTATTATAATTAAGGACTAGAAAAACGCATTTCGTACGAACCCATCGCATTCTTCTTCGGGATGAAAATAATTGATGTTTGATTCCTCCAATACTTTCGGTATTGTTTCTGTTTGGGCTTCGGGGGCTGAATTTGTTCTTTGCCTTTCATCTGATGTTATGTCGTCGTCTTCCTCTTGAGGTAACGAAGTTGATGAAGTGCTTTCTAAAGAATTTCACTTACGTACGTCAGTAAAAATTTAAATACTTTTACTATAATAATTTTAATCTGTAAAATATTAAATTAAACATGACAACAAAGTTTTCACTCCTCCTAGGTTTTCGACCTCTAGAGCGGTAAGCTGTCATCTTAACCGCTCGGCCATGCTGCCTCCTGGTTAAGATTAATCAAGTTTTATTATTTCTAGAACGCAATTAACAAATTTCTTTAAATTAAGCCTGTTATTGTGCCAAGTTATCGGTTCCGCTGGTAAATTACTCTTTATACATATTTTCGGTTTAAGAATTTTGATATATATTTACGATAATCTCACATGACTAGTTTCCTCGTCCTACTTTACTTCTTTCCAAACAAATGGATACCCAAAATAGTACAGGTAACCCACTCAACATTACAAAAAACGTACGTGCGAATCACAACTTACTGTTGAATTTATAGGAGCCAAGTTGACCAGTTGAGTAATCCGAAAAGCAAAAATTCGCTCTAATTTCACATCTTTCTTCCGCTCTTTTGGTATTGTGAAGTACAATTTGCATTTCTTCTTTGTTCTAAAATTTAATATAAATTATAAAATCATTGTAATTTCAGCTTAAAATGTCGATAATTACTTAATTAACCGGTAGCATTTCGTTTCTGTTTTCAAAATTGGTATCTTCGTAATCCGAGCGAATGGGTGCCGTGTTGAATTGATTGTTCCATTCGTCTCTCCTCCTCTGATTTAAGAAGAAATTGAAGAAAAAAAATCGACTTTTCTGCTCTATAAATTATTACTTGTGTTGATTTTGGATGTAGGACCCACCTGCAAGTCGATAATCCATCGCATCATGGATTCGTAATCATCCGCGAATAAGTGATATTCTTTCTGTTCGGAGCTAAAATTAAGCACAAATTATTATTTTTTATATTAATCCAAATGTAATCTAAGGATAAAATCTTGTATTAATATTAAAAGGAACTTACTAAATAATAAATCGATTATTTTCTTCGGCGTGTGGCGTTATGGCCGCCTTTTGAAGGTTAATAATCTCCAATGGAGCCTTGCATCCATTTTCGCTCCCAAACTCATTTTTATAGCAAAAAAGTTGGCAGTTTTCATTTCGATAAACCAGCCAAAGTTTCCTTGGAGGCTTCAAAATGCTTAATCCTAATTTAACACACAACCTTACCACACTAATACAGTATCAAAGACACTACTGAGAAATTTTTCGGTACCTACCACCCGAAGACTTTAGTAAAAGATATCCTTGGAGATTAGATTGGGCCATGACGATGTTCCTCACTCGATGATTAACGTTCGTAAATCTAAATTGAGATGCTTCGCTTATTTATTTTTTAATTGTTACTCCTAATTCATTTGTAAATGAAATTGCTTAACTTACTAATTGACATTACCATTTTTTAAACAAAACTTTGGTTGCATAAATTTTAATTTCGCAAAAAAGTTGTTCAGAAAATAATTGTTTTGTATTTTAAATCCGTGTTTTTAATTTAAAATATTTTATTTTCTTTTTATTTTTGTATAAGTAAAGCTGGCAATGGCTCTTCCTCGACTTTCCTGGCACTCGAACCGGAGGTTAAGGGCACCAGGAAGGAAATCCGATAATTTTAAATTATGGTAAGATATAAAATTTATATAACGTAATAAAAAATAGCGACGACATAAGCTTTAAAGGAAATAATTTTTTTGAATTATGATAAAATCTATTTAAGAAAAAAAACACTACGACACTAGCTCAAAATTAAAAACGGTGTGTGGCGCCATCTGTTATTAGAGATATTTTAATTACTAATTAGTACTTAGTTGGCGCCACCTGACGAGGAGAAAGCCCACGAAGTGTCTTTTATGGAAAACTGACCCCTATTTAGGTATTAGTGTAATAAATCCGAAAACCACGTGGCCAGGCGCGAACCCGTTCAATGGTTTTGTCCACTCCACCAATGGTGGACATAGCAGGTATAATAATAATCATTGTATACGTTAAACGACAAGAGATAGCCTTGTAAAACCACGTGTGACGTTCCTTTTAATTAATATAACTAGTCGTAAAGTTTTTATTTATATAATAAAGTAGAAAATACTGATGCGTCTTCTTATCGAATCAATCTGCCCGCCAGTTTTGCCTGTTTGTTTCGTCATAAACATAATTTCTAATCAGTGACTACGGATAGAATAAATTCCTTTTATTTTTTCCCGACTAATCTTAAATTTCTGGCACCTATTTTTGTCGTAAGCCTATTTACCATTGTGGTAAATAGGTGAACACTAATTTGGCTGCTAATAATTGTATTTTACACCGTTAATCATCGATTGTTTAATATTAATCTAGGGTGCAAATTTTAAAACACGTTTACGGTAAAATCTACGAGACAATTAGCTGGTGTTATTGCTTAACTGTCGACAATACAGAAAACACTTCGTTTGGAATTTAATTAGTAGTAGTTTTAAACGAAACCAAAACAAATTTATTTTATATTTTGAATAAATTTCTGGATTATTTAAAAAAAAATAAACACCAAAATTTCCTGTTTTAAAACAACTGGACGTCACTAACCTGAATATAAAATGATAATTCCATTGTTTTTCGGTTGGTTTCGTGTTTAAAATCCGATCGAAACACTAACATAAACTGAGGAAAAATGTAATAAGCGAATACTAAAACGTTTGAGTCACTTTCAACAGATGGTGGGGCAGTGTTTATAACTATACATCACAAGTGAATTAAGTCGACAGGTTTTCGCGTGTATCGACGGTAACGGAAAAAATTACTATCAATTTCCTGCAACTAAATTTAAAATGTGAAATTTTTATCTAACTTTAAACACTTTGGACAAACATTTATATATGAAATATCTGGTTTTTAAATTTGTCTCAATAAGTTACGTCAGCTGATGATGATAAACCGATTGTGAAAAAATTCACCTGTAATTTAAATATTTTATGCTTTTACTAAAGTTTTGAAAATTTAAAACCGATTATTTAAAAACCACGGCTTATTCTATTGTTGAATTAAGTATGATATGAATGAGTAATGTTATATTGTTCTTTGTAATTGTAATATTCTGTTGTAATCTTAATGCCATGACTTATGGGTAAATTTTAACACAATTAAAACAATAGACCACCTTAAACACAAATTTAAATACAGCGCAATTCTTAACAAAAAATACTGTCACAAACGATGGACTGTTCAATTAGATGTGGAATAACCCACCATTTGCTACAGTATTTTTCTCTGTTAAAAATCCCACTAAAGATTTGTATTTAACATAGTCTATTGTTTTACTATAGTCTAGTGTTTGGTGAATTTTACTGGGAAAAAAGCCATGCCACAACTTCATGTAAGGATGTAACCACTAAAGCCAAGATCAGACTAGTTAGATCCCTTGTATTCCCTATTGTTATGTAGGGTCTGAAAGATACACACTTAGGAAGCACGAGAGGAAAAACTAGATGCATTTGAACTCTGAGTGCAGAGAAGACTCCTTGGGATGCCATGGAGCAAAGAAAACTGATCTGAAAGCCATCAAGCCTGCCCTGTTGCTTAAAAGCATGCTTCTGAAGCAAAGTGTGGCCTACTTTGACCACTTGATGCTTGTTCATAAAGGACTGGAGAAAAAAAAAGATATGCTTGGGAAGAGAGGAAAGGCACAGGAAGGGCCAACAAAGAACCAGATGGCTAGACCAGATAAAGGAGGTAACCGATTCTTGCATGAACTGTCATATGTGGTAGAAGATAGAACAGTTTGGAGAAACCTGCATCAGATTGCCAGCAGTGGGCAGCAACTCCATGGCACCTAACAATTGCTTCACATATATGAAATTGGATAACTTCTGCCATTAATATATATACATACATACATATTTTGATTATAACATTAATCTATACTGTGCAAAGTCTTGTATCTGAATATATTATCTGTGAGGAAACAAAATTTTGTAACAATAATCAGTTAATTATACATTGTTATATGTAATATTTAATTTAATAATTGTAGATATTCTCGTCTGATAATGTATAAATCTATTTAAATATTTTATTTTAATACACCATTTCATGAACAATTATTAGTTCTCACTACATACATAAAATTATTTTATGAAGCTTTAAACTCTCATGAACTATAGTACCTCTCCCAAGTTCGATTATGGAGGAGATTGAAAAAGGGAATCCATCAGGACTGATAAGAAACCGAAAAAACAAAACTGCATGCAAATTTCTAGTTTCTATCTGTTACTATTTGTGAGTGTAGTAGTGTATTTTAATAATTCCTTTACTGTAAATTTTGCAGATATTAACGAGGTGGCCAATAACCATGTTTATGGAACTCGCAGAAGTTTTTTATTTTTTAAAATAAAACCTATATTTTTTTTTTTTACACAAATATTATGGGAAGATATTAATGAAGAAGCAGATGAGTGTATAACTTAGCTGAAGCATAAAGATCATTATTTTAATATACAGTCGACCCCCCTATAACACTGTTATAATCATAGCCCGGCACATGTATTTGTAAAATACACGTGCCGGGCAGTGAATGGCTCACGTATTTGTAAAATCTAAGTGACTCGTACAACATGGAATCCATATAAAACAGAATTATCAACAGTGTTACTACAGTCGAGGTCGGGGGGTCGACTGTAGATATATAATGTTTCAATAAATACAATCAATTTGTATTAGGTTGTCTGTATCCTTATAAAAAAATAGAAACAATTAATGTGTCATGAAATAGGCCAATTACTACAGTAAAGCAGCCAATAATATAAAATTTAGCATTTTCGTAAAACAAGGCACATTCCGGATTAAACAATTGGTATTTGTAATTTGTATATATTGGCAGCAGAAAAGCTATAAAAAGACAAATTCACCAGTAAGTATATTTCACTGTTTAGTCTCTGTTATGTCAAAGAATTCTTTAAAATAAAAATATCCTTAAGAGGCCAATAACTGTATTATTTACCTTATTTATACTGAAAAATAAACAGATAATATTGGTGCTGAAATGAACATATTTAGAAATTTTTCAATGTTGAAAATTTATAAAGTTTTATCAACAGAAGCAGTCCACGATTCATTCTTTATCAAACTGTAATTTTTATTTTGTCTCGATCTTAAGCAAATAGTTCATTGTTAAAAACTTCATAAATACCAAAAAATAATTTATTGCCATGATATCTGCAACAGTTTGTAATTCCTTTTGATATCATTTACAGAAAAATTGGAATAGAAAATATAACATTGCGATGGGTTCGACAGGTAAGAAATATAAAACGAATTAATTTTTGAAATGAGTGAATATATTATTTCTGTAACAAATAACAAGATTATGGAACCAGCCAAAAATTATATAATTATTTTTTTAACTAATTAGTTTCCTATTTTTGTTTCATAGCTTGTTGGGCTGCTATACTTGGGTTATTTATGATTTCTCCTAAAGATTCCAATAATTCTCTTCGGTAGTCGTCGAAGTCGCCATCAATTTCATCTATATCTTGACTTTCTATAATCCAAAGTTGACAGTTTGTTTCACGTATAAGACGTTCATCGTGACTGACTATCACGACACCTGAAAGATATTATTATTATTACACAAATTAAATCAGTAATAGAGCTTTACATATTTTTATTCAAATAAATTCTAAACCTTATAAAAACTACCAGAGAGCATTTTAGAAATATATTGGATGCTTCTCACAAAGTTAATATATTGGGATGTTTGGAAAGTAAGTTCGTTTTTTTCCGTGGAAAAAAAACACAATATTTTTATAATAAATAAATATTTTATTGAATTATATATCAACCATTTTGGGCAAATACCTGTTGCCATCGTTTCTGGTAGTAGCATGATTACATGTTCATAAAAGTTTTGATCTTTGTTTACAGAAAACTGATCCAAGTGATTTTTGACATTGTCATTTTAAGTAAATGTCTTACAGTTTAAAAAATTTTTTATAGACAAGAACAAGTAATAATCTGAGTGTGCCTGATCTGACAAATATGGTTGGTGTGATAGCACATCCCATCTAAGTTATAACAGTTTCTGATGAGTTACCAAACTTTGTGTGAAATTTGACATTATTGTGGTAAAACACTACACCTTTTTTGTTGATCAATTCTGGCCTTTTCTGTTTGATGATATTATTCAATTTGTTTACTCAATGGCAGCACACTTTCAAATCAATTGTTAAATTGTCTGATAAAAGCTCAAAAAAAAAATATCCTTAAAATTCCACCAAAAAGAGCATCTCTCTTTAAGAGCATGTGGAACCCATATATCGAGCTTTGAAACGAAACCAATTTGTTTCAAGTAATCATAAACAGTTCAATTTGACAAATTTAATCTCTTAGTGATTTCACGTGTTGTTATTTGGCAGTTTGCTTCAATCAGTACCTTTATTTTGTTTTCATTGGCTTCAATTGGCCATCCAGAATGTGATGCATCTTCAATATTGAAATTGCCAGAACAAAATTTTGTAAACCAGTTTTGGCACTGTCTTTCTCTCAACACATCATCTCCATATATGTACCACAATTTTTTCTTGCTTGAACAGTATTTTGATTTTTTGATGATAAAAAAGCAAAATATGCCAAAAATGATGCTTTTGATTTTCCATATTTAATGGGACACTGAAAAAAAAAACAATTGTACAGAATCAAACAAAATTTTTTACAAATAAGCCCTAAAATGTCAGCTATCAAAGTATATAATGAAAATTTAGTTTAAAATGAAAATGGCTGGTAAAAATACATCTAATTCCTCTAGTAATAAAAAAAAAATGAAATTACTTTCCGAACAACCCAATATATTCAGTAATTGAATGTATTGTTTTTAATTAAAATTAAAAACAATATATTTTTGAATATAATAATAACAGTGATTTATTAGAAATAAATACTTGACTATCATACTTAAAAATATCAATAATTCCCATTTTTACACATTCATTGAATATTCTATTAATGATAGATTATTAATCTTCTGTCTTTGATAAGAGGAAAAAATCTTCTCTTATTTTCATAGATTTGAAGATATGAATAAGCTAATATAATAACATAAATTTATATCACCTTAATAATTAAGTCTGATGGAAAGAATGCTAATTATTTTAGACTAATGTCTTAGAAGAGTTGAAGTAGAGATGCTAAAAACAAATTTGTGATCTTGTTTTATTAAATGATTCTGGGGATGTGATGGCTCCATATGGATAAATTGATTAGCTAAACAAACATTCAAGAAGCCAGAAAATATCCTTTTTATTAAATTAATGATTAACATTTCTGAAATGTTTTTCATTCCATCATCAGACCTTTGTAGTTTATTGAACATTTGAAGCATTCTAAACTGGTTTATAATGCTGTGATTTTAGCTAATCAGTTTAATATATTATTAATTACTTGCTGTTTAATAAATTAGTGTTTACTAAGAAATTCATCACTGATTTAATTAAAAAAGCTAAAGCTTTATACATGCTACAGAAAAGGCACAGAACAAGCAAACTGTATGTAACCCACTGTACAAAATATAAGTTAAACACAAGATAAATTTAATTTATTGTACAATTTATTTAGTATTTATTAAAGATGAAAAATATTGCTCATACAAATAAATTATCCTAAAATTTTTCATACAATTAATATTTAAAATTATAATAATATATTTATAAATTATGAGGGAAAAAAATAGCAAAATATAAATGAAAGTGCATTCAATATTTAAAAACAAAAATTTTGAACATTTAAAATGTAATATATAATGTAATATAGGATAATTTAATTATGTTTTTCATACGCTTCTTTATTCTTAGTCTTTATTATGTTTTGCATCAGTTAACATACAGTCGACCCCTCTATAACACTGTTGATTATTCCGTTTTATATGAATTCCATGTTGTACAAGTCACTTGGATTTTACAAATACTGTACATATGCTGGGCTGTGAACGACTTATATATTTGTAAAATTTAAGTGACTCATACAACATGGAATTCATATAAAATGGAATAATCAACAGTGTTATAGGGGGTTGACTGTACTGAAAAATAAAAGATTATCTCTCCCAAACAAAACAATAGCCATTAAAAGTAATTTTAGACTTATATAGATTTTTAAAACTATTCTAAATCTAACTTTCAAAACTATAATCTACCCAATTAGAAAATTTACAAAAATTTCATTATAACTGCATCATACATAACAAAATTAGAGACTCAAAAAGCAATCATTATTATTGTATATTTATTATATATACTGTGAAGTATTATCAGAAAGTTATTTAAAGATTAGATTAAGTGTGGTACTTTCAATTTTCAGCTAATTATTTCTTACTTCTACAGCAGGAGTCTCCAACCTTCAGCTTGAGAGCCAAATACAGCTCCACAAACCATATTTATCCAGCCTACATAGTTTGTTTTCATAGATATGTATTATCATAAACTTTTGTAAACTCAACTAGAATAATAAACTTCACTGCAAATGAATTTTTAAAAACCTATTTAAAGAAGGAACTTTGTTAAATTTTTACAAATCTCCTCCAGAAGAGAATTTCAAAAGCCTTAAGTTTGCACCGGGAACATTTTGTATTTTTGCTTCCATGTACCTTTTCAAAAATGAAATGCAGTATATAAAATCAAGATATGCATCATTATCATCCAAAGAACATCTAAAAGAGATTTTAATTTATTGAGTACCACAAAATTTATCCCCAATTTTGATGATGCTCTTTCAAAAAGGCAATTTCACATTGATTTATGTCTATTGTTATTCATAAAAAATTAATTACCTATGTATGCAAAAAGTAATTAATAACAAAATGAAAATGCTTATTATTTATATGAAAATTTACCAAATGAATATCATGTGATTAATATTGTAAATTTCAAATGACAGATAATATATTGCAAAATAATTACAATGAAATTAAATTATAGTAATGCAAACAATAATGAAATTCTACTTTTTCAGTAAGCAGATGACAAAAATATCTTTCTAATTAAAAAGAAAATAGTTTGATTAAGCAAATTTAAAGGTCTTGTAATGTTAATTTTTGTTATCATATACTACATCCACAGTTTCAGAATAAAGTATATGTCATTTTTTAAATTTCATAAGTATGAAACTTACAGACAAAATATACAGTTAAACTATTATATAATACATTTAAATACAGTATGAACAGTACTGTATAAATGCAAATACTTCTTGTAATGTACTTTATATAATTTTAAAAAATTTCATTCAGAAACTTAAAAATTAGCTTAATTTGCTCTTTATTGTAACAGACATTAAAAAACTAAAGCATGCTATAAAAATAAAAAGAAAAACAAAATTTTATATCTACTTCAGGTTCCTATTAAAGTAATGATCTTAAAATTATTTATCAGAATTATTATAATACATTTATAAAAATTTCAAAATATTTAAATTCTTTCCTTTTAAAAGTAGATAAAAAAATACAGAAAATAAAAATCATATCTTAAGATTTTAAATCATCTTCAACTGACAAAAATAATACATATACTATAACGATGATTTTCCTGATGCTTCAATAGAAATGAGATAAAATAGAAATCAAGATTTATCTAAAAATCATTCTTGGATTTATCTTGATTTAAAATGAAAAATTTTTCTAAATATATATTATAATACATTATATTTATATTTCATGAATTTATTATTTAAAAATGCTTTCTATCTTACTCTTTATATATGCATATGGCAATATAACAAGCAAACATGTTGCACATTTGCCTAACAATCTATCAACAATTGTATATTATTATTATTATTATTATTATTATGTTGGGTTTTGTGAGTTATACTCAGTTCACACCGGTGGCTGTGTACTATGCCGGACCAGAGTCAAGGCATAGCATCCAAAATAAAACTAAAATTAAATAAGTGTGTCAGTGTCTGTATTCAGGAATTTCCTAACAATGTGGCATGTATTCAATATAGTGGCCTTCTGTAGTGTGATGTACGTATTTCTACTCAATTCTAATGTTCCCAGGCTTTTGTGTAGTGTGTGTGGTATCACACCTGTACAGGAGAGAACGACAGGTACAATAAGTACCCTATCCATCCTCCACAGATGCCTTATTTCCTGGGCAAGTTCTGTGTACTTGTTGATTTTTTCAGTGCATGTGTTTTGTACATTGTGAGTGTTTGGAATGGCTACGTCTATAATGTATGTGATTTTATTGCGCTTGTCAATGAGTGTGATGTCTGGTCTGTTGTGGTAAATTGTTTTATCTGTGATTATGGCTCTGTCATAGTACATTTTGTGCATGTTGTTTTCCAATACTGTCTGTGGTATATACTTGTAATATATTTTGTGAATGTCTACCAAGTTGTGTTTCTTTGCAAGCTCTTGTGAGATCCGAAAGGCCCCTGGGTCTAAATAGTGAATTTATTAATAATGTTAAAATATCGACACAAAATATTACTTCATTTTTGTGAAAAACTATTGTTTTGGACGTGGGAAAAGATAGATAACAGATGTTACTTCCTTTAAGGGAAGTCCGTACATCCTCTGTTTTTTCCTTATCCGTTAAAAATCTCACTCAGATGGGAACTATCTACCCCTCTTCGATTCCCCTTTTCATCCGCTCACAT